GCCGGCCAGCCGCTTGAGTGACAGCTCGTCCATGACCAGCCCCTCCTCCAGCGCGCGCTCGTACAGCGCCTTGGCCGACGCCAGGTCTTTGTCCGCGACTGCAAAGAAACACATTTGAGATGGAAATGGTGCGCCTTTCGTGACTTGACTGAACACTGGAAACGTGCGCCCGAGTCCAATTCAACTTCCAAGACGGATTTGCCAGCTTTTAGAGCAACTTACAGCTGCGCCGCGGCGATATGAACAAGGACTTGATCGCAATTCAAGTAGTCTATCAAAATGAATTTCAAAATCTACTTAACGGGGGAGACAAAACTTGGAAGGAAAACCCATTAGCAGACCTTGCTTGCTCCAAGTTCAAGCACTTTAAAAGCACTTTAGCCACATTTGCGGCACTTCATGAACCTTGAACAAAGTATGAGAAACAATCGGAAGCATCGAAGAACCCTGTAAACCCGGCGCGAGTCGACGTGGCCTTTTTTACGGACATTAAAAATCACTCGGATGCGCAGAAGGCTCCTTTTGTCACGCAGCGTAAAAATTAGCGCTACATCCAATAATGTGTTGCGCTTAATGTTCCTCCACTTTTTTCCTTCCAAAAGGGAAAATAACCAGGTTACGTCTATTGAGCAAGCGAGCCCAAGTGCGCGAAAGCAAGTCCCCTCGGAGCGCCCCACGTTTGAGCGGCTGGCTAATGCGAATGAAATAGTCATGTGCGCTCGTCTTTGCTGTGATAACGGGGCGGCTTGGGGGGTGTTCGGGATTATAGTTCAAAGGCCCACGTAAGACAAGAGAAGTGCTGAGTGGCAGGTCGTGTAGCGATTAGTACGCTAGGCTAGGCAGGACAGCTAACTCATTAGCGGGCATGTCCTCTTCAAAAAGGCCAGCATGTTTTCTTACACCGTGCCCCCGCACGCGCATACGTTGAAATGAGCGCTCACCATTCGCAGGGGTCGGGGACCAAGAAACGCAAAAAAATGCAAATCAAGTGTTTCATCATGACCAATTTGAATCGCTCAAATCAGTCCTTCTCCCATTGCGGCGAGGGGCAGGGAGGGCCAGCCCCCCTATCGTGCTATCCTCTGCCCCCCATTACTAGAATAACGTCTAATTGCACATCCACGACAGTAGGTGGCAGTGGCGCTCTCATGTGTCTATTTTTTAATTGTCGGCAAAATTCATGCACGTCAAATCTTTTGTGTTACAGACTAAAAAACAGTGTCAATAAAGTTCTTGTGATAAATTGATCTATATTCCCTTTTTTTGTCTGCTTTAATGGGTATACTGTAATGTTCTAGAGAAGTGTACTTGTAACGATTTTATGGACAATTAAAACACACCGTACATCACCCTAGAAAAGAAACGGTGTACAAATGAGCCCAAAAACTTGTACGTATTGTTAATTCAGTCACACTAACTGCGGTAGGCTAAGTACGCGGGCCCAGCCGGTGTCGCAGCGCGGCTCTTACCGTGACACTTCATCAAGTAAGGGTAGAGCACTTCCTTCTCAGCAAAGTCCGGGATCAGGCTCTGCAAGGTCTTGATTTTGCCCACCTACCAAATCGCACACAAGAACAATTGTCACATCGGGTGCTTTTTATTCATTTATGAATACATTGCTATTTATTGTTTTTATTCCTTGAGATTTCGATATTTATGTATTTTTATGCAGTTCAGTTTTGCTGCCCTTCTTTTTAGCGGTGCGTGTTTCGATGCACTGCGTGTTTGCACCGCGGTTGAGAGGAAAGTCATTTCATCTGTGCCGTATGTTGCACATCGAGCATATTTGACAATAAAGCTCGACTTGACTTGAGGTGGGATGAGCCACACATGCTAAATGAATGCAGCCGAATGGCTGTCAGCATTCTCTTTCATTAAAAGCAAAATGTTTCAATATTTACAAATGGATGAGCCGGTCTTTTATGACACTAAAGTCATCAGGTTTTGAGAGGATTAGCAGTGAGCCGTCAGGCCTTTTGCTGTAGCGCCCATAAGGAAACAGAAACAAAAACAAAAAATGTCAATCGGTCCATTTTGGAAAAGTCAGAACATTTCGAGATGGAAAAAGACAGTTGAAGGTATATCTATATATCTTTTTCTTCAGCTACACACACTTTTGACCCGCAAGACAACACTTGGGGTAAAAGCTAGTTCAACAAAAAAAAACAAAAAAAAAAACGTGACTGGACCTGTCCTGGCCCCTGAGATGCCCGGC